GAATGTTTTTCCATTTCTTTGTGTCTTCTTCAATTTCCTTCCTAAGTTTTCTATAGTTTTCATCATACAGGTCTCTTATATCCTTGGTTAGGTTTATTCCTAGGTATTTTATGTTTTTTTATGCAGTTGTGAGTGGGATCAGTTTCTTGATTTCTCTTTCTGTTGCTTCATTGTTGGTGTATAAAAATGCAACCAATTTCTGTACGTTGATTTTGTACTCTGCAACTTTGCTGAGTTCTTGGATCAGTTCTAGTATGCTTCTGGTGGAGCCTGTGAGGTTTTCTATGTAGAATATCATGTCATCTCTGCAGTTATTTTAAAATATTACATGTTTTAAATGAAGCATATCGTCTTTCCTCCTTTCATTTCAGTTGTGTCTTGGTTTGCTAATTACCTCATTAAATTTCTAGGGAGAGATTACACCAATTGAATGGAGTTTGGAAAGTACTAGGAAAGTAAGATGCATGTTAGAAAAAAGAAATCAGAGTTTTGTACATGAGAAGGTGGGGGAGGGAAGTTTATTTTAGACATGGACGTGAGCAAGTTCATTGAGTCCAAGAAAATGTCCAGGACTGTATAGTTTGATCAAAGCTCGTTTTCAGAGTCATTGTGAGGCAAGGTATAAAAGTCCACTGACATTGTATTTCAGAGGATCCTATGTGAGCAGTGGACCAAGGATTTGTACTCAGTTAAGTAGACAGTAAAGAAACCTGAAACATTTTCTTAACCCTTTATTGTAGATGATTTCAAAAGTACAGAAAGTTTGTGAGAAAAATTCAAAGAACTCTAGCATAACCTTTACCTAACTTCACTGATTTTTAACATTTTGCCACATTTGTGTTCTCATTCTTAAGCACTTTATCTCTGTGTGTGTATTTAAAATATTACCCCTTCGGGCACCTGGGTGGCTTAGTTGGTTAAGTGTCTGACTCTTGATTTGGGCTCTGGTCATGATCTCATGGTGCGTTGAATTGAACCCTGTGTTGGGCTCTGCGCTGATAGCATGGAGCCTGCTTGGGATTCCCTCTTACCCTCTCTCTTTGCCCCTCCCCTGCTCATGCTCTTTCTCTCTCTTCTCAAAATAAGTAAATAAACATTAAAGAAATAAATAAAATATTATCCCTTAATACTTTAATGTGTATATCCTAAGAACAAAGATATCTTTCATAAAACCACCCAACAATGATCAAATTCAGGAAATTTATGTTTCCTTTTGTAATTAATAACTATTTTTTGGAAACTTAATAAAAGACTATGCAAA